AAATTTATGGCAGTCCTTGAAGTACTGGAGGCCAGGTGTCACTTCCCTCACTCCCTCTCTCCCTTTCTCTCCCTCCCTCCCTCCCTTGTATCCTTGGGTGTCTTGCCTTGACTGGTTTCAAACTTGTGGCAGTCCTCCTGCCTTAGCCTTCTGAGTACTGGGATTACAGGCTATACCTAGTGATTGGTTTAATTTTCAAAGAAATTGACAATAAATAGACAAAAGTCTATGCCAAAATAGTATAATTAAATTTGTGTGATGGATATATGGTGGTGCATTGTATTAATGTTGTCCATTTTTCTGTATTTGAATATTTTCATAATAAACATTCTTTAGGACTGGGAATATAGCTCAGTGGTTGAGTGTTTTCCTAGAAGGTGTAAGGCCCTAGGTTCACTTACTAGCTCTGCAAAAATGATAAAACAATCATTTTTTAAGTGTTGGGCATGGTGGTAGGCCCCTTGCATAACTACTTCCTATATGAAAGACAAGAAGAAAAGGCTCAGAGGGAGCCAGTGTCATAGGACCCTGGTAGACCTGGTATTTGAGACCAAGGTGCTTGTTGAACCTCAAAGCTTTTCCTAGCACGAGGTGCCACTTGAGGGGGTGACTCACAAGCATACCTGCATGCTGTTCTAGGCTCCAGGGACTCTACCAAGCACATCTGATACATCTCACAGTTCACAGTACCTTGCCATGCAGCCCATCACTCAGCTGTCTCTAGTGTCGAGGTAGAAGATATTTGCTATAGCAAAATTTTTCTAGTTTTCCTATTTAAAATTATGTCAACAGCTTATATTTCTTAGCAGTTAAAAATAATTATTCTGCTGCATGTGGTGATACATACCTTAATTCCAGTACTCAGGAAGCAGAGGCAGGTGGAGTTCTGTGAGATTGAGACCAGCTTGTCTACATAGGGAGCTCTAGGCCAGCCATGGCTGCACAGATTACCACCCCCAAGTAATAATTGTCCTTTTCAAACCCTTAGAAGTGGTGGGTCGTTGTCATGTATCGTCCTCTCCATTCCTCGTATCGCTTGAGTATATTCTTGCTCTGTGCCTTTAAAGATGCCTTTGTCGTTGCAGGCAGACATCTGGTCCCTCGGCATAACAGCTATAGAACTGGCCAAAGGAGAACCCCCTCATTCTGAGCTGCACCCCATGAAGGTTTTATTCCTCATTCCAAAGAACAACCCCCCTACGCTGGAAGGAAACTACAGCAAACCCCTCAAGGAGTTTGTGGAGGCCTGTCTGAATAAGGAGCCAAGCTTTGTGAGTCTGTGCATCTCTTTGGGGTCTCAACTTGGTCTGGATCTATGCTGCAGGGACTTCTTCAAGCACTGTTATCTGCTGCCTTCATGATCTCACATATTCTTTCCAAATGAGTTTGATTTGTTTGAGTTGCAAATATGCTTTTATTCTCATTTTATGTTTTAGTGATTTAAGGTATAATTTTTATTTTAGATTTTCTAGCATCTCATACCTCACTGAGTCTGAAGAATATTCTCAGTATTAGAGGTAGAATCATCATTTTTTAATATTTGTAGTAAAAGATTAGGCTATAAACTAGAAAGTAATTTTATTAATGGCAAAGACTGGCCTGGAAAATAATGAAAGTAAATATGTTCAGTTTCTACTTGTCATGTGCTGGGAACCAGAAGGCAAATAAGAGGTAAATGAACCATCCACTTCTTTTCCTCTCCTCCTGTTTAACCAGCAGTGGCAAAGCCCCTAACATTAGCTACTAGATAGCTTTGCCTCAGTGGTGGTGTCCTTGTTTCGTTCCTGAGGGCTTTGGGGCGGGGAGCAACAAAGATAGGTGGAGGCCATGCTTCATTGAGCCTGAAGAATATTCATTGAGGGTCCCCATGAACTCAGATCTAGAAATGAGTGGGAAAGGATGAATTTTATAAGAGCTGTATAGTTTCTTAATGTAGTACCAGTTCTGGTAAAGGAATCGAATGTTTCCCACAGGTAGCATTTTCTAAGCACCACCAGGGACTTATGCTAAGGTCAGCAAGTCAGCATGTGGCTCCTGGGTCCGACATCAAGGGGTGGTGGGTACGGTCTTACTTGCCAGCCAAGCCCTCTGGATTTTACATCATGATCCTTGCTCGAGCACAATAGAGAGTCTTCCAGCACCCAGGAAGAGAGACCCCTCTATGCATATCTTCCCCTAAAACATGTCTAGTACTTCTTATTCCCAGGATGCACTCTTTACCCTGCCTTGCCCCTGAAGGTTGCACAGGTGACATTATAAGTGCTTGGGATGTTTGGAGTGTCACAGTCAATGGACAGGGATCACCAGGACCATGTAGGTTCTCACAGGTTCAGATTGTTTGAGCAGGTAGGACGGTGATGTGCCTGGTTGGCATCTCTGTTTCTGCTTTCTGTCCCTGTTTGGGCCACTCCGGGGTTTTGGGAGCTTTGCTCCAGTAGATGAATTTGCTATCCTCAAGACTGAAGCCATGGCTGAATTTGCCATGTGCCATTTGGTTGTGGCTATGTCATGTCCATGTGGGGATCAAGCTGTTGGCTCAGTCAGCAGGGTGGGGACAAGTCCAGGGTCCTGTTTTTCTAAATTTGGAGAGTTGGTGACTGAGGAAAATCAGGCAGCCTTCTTAATATGTGAAGAATAGGTCACTCCCATCTTCTTTAGATGAGTCTGAATTATTGAATTCATTTTATTATATTTTTGGGTATTAGCTTAGCAATATAGGAAGTTAACAGTCACACAAAATGTTTGTTTCCCTTAGAAAACATTTGTCATGAGGTATGAGTAAAACCAGGAAGTAGGCTCTCTTAGTTTTTGTAAAGTTCTTTGAGCAATTATTTGGTGAGTTTTCTTGCTTTGATTGAACGGTGCTGGTATTTTAGACCTTGTTGGAAACTTACTGTCACACTCAGCCTGTGCCCATTGTCCCAGGCATGGGAACGGAGTGACTCATCTTAGATAAGCTGGAGGGAGAAGCAAGCTTTGAAGCAGAACCTAGTGTTGACGGATAGTTTTAAACCAGAATCTGCTTGTTTAGGTGGAATAGAAGAGAATGAAGAATAAACTTCCTTTCATAACTGTTTGACCATGTGTCTGTTTTTCAGAGACCCACTGCCAAGGAATTATTGAAGCATAAGTTTATAATCCGCAATGCGAAGAAAACATCCTACCTGACTGAGCTCATCGACAGGTACAAGAGGTGGAAGGCTGAACAGAGCCACGATGACTCCAGCTCAGAGGACTCAGATGTGTAAGTTGCTCAGCTGAGATTGCTAGGCTCTGTGTGTGTGCGCGTGCTTGTGTGTGCGTGTGTGTGCGCCTGTGTGTGTGTATGCGTGTGTGTGTGTGTGTGTGTGTGTGTGTGTTTGATGATTTTTTTGTTGTTGTTATATACTACATGGCCTTGTGTGAGATTCTTTTTTTTTGGTCTTTTTGAGACAGGGTCTCCCTGTAGTCCCAGCTGTCCTGGAACTCACTATGTAGACCAGGCTGGCCTTGAACTCACAGAGATCCGCCTGCCTCTGCCTCCCGAGTGCTGGGATTAAAGGCATGCACCACCATGCCTGGCTCTGTATGGGATTCTTAAGCCCCATGTGTTGCGAGGCTAGGAGTTCTGGTCTGCCATTCTGCACTCTATGGCCAGAAACCAGCACTGTCCCATATGCAGTCTCCCTGCCAGGACAGTTGGCTGAAAGCTTCTGGGACAGACCCAGTTTGATTCCCAAGGTTTCCAGGTTACTGTTTTATAGTAACCTGACCTCATAGGTTATTGAGATGATAATGCTAGGAGTTGGGGTGGTAGTGAGGTGAAAGATGGAGAATGGAGGTAGGTTTTGAGAGCCAGGATGTGGCAGTAGATCTGAGTGAAGGTGGCCAGGCCTGTAATCTCAGCTACTGGAGAGGGTGATCAGGAGGACCTCAAGTTCAAGATTTTGGGCCACTTAATGAGACCCTGTCTCAAAATAAAAGGTACAACAAGGGTTGAGATTGCTGCTTAGTATTTGACTAGTATGTGGGAGGCCCTGTGTTCAGTTTCTAGTAAACTATTTAGGGAAAGGAGGAGGAGGAAGGTATTCCAGGTTTTAGTAGCATGATGGGTGATGATGAGATGACAAGGTGTGGTAAGCAGGGTTTGATGTGGGTCATGTTGTAGTTTGAATTGCTTATGGGATGTCTGGGAGATTCTTAACCAGATAGGTAGAAGATACAGACTTGTTTGTCACTCCTACCTAAAAGGCTGTTGAACTGGAGCCCTGAGAACAAAGGGTATCGTTCTGGGACTGTGTGCCTCTGGAAAAGGTCAGAGCCTAGGATGAGCCCCCTAGGAAGCCAGCATTGAGATAAAACTGGAACCTGGGCATGAGTCACAGCAAAGGTGAGAAAGGTTGGAGGCAGAAGGCAGGTACCATGCCATTGGGTCATTGCTGTTGAGGTTCAAGCAGACTACAGACTGAGCAGGGAGATGGGCCCCCTGTTGAGAAGTGTATGGAGGATTGAGGTCTTGATGGTAGTGCACGACGGGTTCACAAGTGGGCGTTGGAGCTGGTGGAAAGTGACAGATGGGGACAGTGAGTGGACATGATATTTAAGAGCAATAGCTATGGGGGTGTGAACCTGAGGAGCAGAAGAGCACAATGTTCAGGCCTGGCAAAGAGAGGAACCAAAGAGAAATTGAGGCCCAAGAGAGGCTGGCAGAAGAAGCAGCACATGGGTCCCCAGGAGAGGTGTGGCCTCTTTCAGTGGAGGAGGCTGCAGAGGAGAGATGATTGTGAATGCCAGTGGTACAGGGGCAAGCCCAGGAACCACAGTCTGGTCTTCCCTGTGATATAGAAGGCAGTGTGACTTTGAGAAGTCCCTGGGGGGCTGGTATGCGTGTGACTGGTGGTTCTGGGGCAGGTGGAGTGGCTGTGGAGCATGGGCTGGGGTGATGGAGGGCTAGGCAACACAGAAGCCCAGGCCATAGCCTGGCCAGTGTTAGTGAACTTGGTGGAATTCTGTGTCAAGGGAAACAGATGGCCAGGCGTCTGGAGGCAGCGACTCTGGGGACTGGATCTTCACAATCCGGGAGAAGGATCCCAAGAATCTGGAGAATGGAACTCTTCAGCTGTCAGATTTGGAAAGAAATAAGGTATAGGGGCTGGCAAGATGGTTCAGCAATTAAGAGCAATGGGTGCTCTTGCAGAGGACCCGGGTTCAATTCTCAGCACCCACATGGCAGCTTATAGCCATCTGTAATTGCAATTTTGGGGGTTTGGACACCATCTTCTGGCCTCTGTGAGCATTGTATAACATGGGTGCACTTACATACATACAGGCAAGCCACTCATATACATAAAATTTAAAAAAATTTAAATTCAAAAAAAGAAAAAGAAGGCACAGTGGCTTGTGCTTCAGTGCCAGTGCTTGGCAGCCAGCGGCACTAGGGAGCCATTTTCACAAACAGCTTGCTGTGCAAGTGGGTGTGCTGTCCCTCAAAGCAGCCCCTTGGTGGCATTTTACCTTAGGGAATTGACAAGAGCAAGAGATTTATTTCTGTCTGACCATCTTAAGATTCAGACCCAGAGTCTGGATGCTGGTGTCTACAGGTCTGAGTTGTGCCCTTATGGCCACCCCCCACCTCACCTTGTGCATCATACTGGGGTTTTCGGACCCTCTGCCACAGGTGGAATTGGACTCAAGAGTGAAGTTTTACATGTGAAATGGCTTTATGGTTCTCTTTACAGAGCTATGTCTGATTTCATGTTGTAATTAGTCATATTATGTACCTTAATTTTATGGTAGAGCTTTAAGGCATAAAAATGTATTGTTTTGGGTATTTGTATAAACTTAATTTTCATGAGTTGGCTTTATGCCCATTCAATTTACACAAAGCTGCATTTTAAAGATCATTTCAAAGCATAGTGGTATAGGTTCTGTCAGCATTGTGAACCAGTGGTCATCCTCGTGGCCCCATAGTCCTACTCTGATGAGTTACATAAGTGGTTTATAAGTTTAGAGAGGTGGTGAAAGTAGGAAATGAGTCTCTTGTGCAATGGCCACTTGGAACACCTGCTTTAGTCCTCCCGGGTTTCCCCAGCTAAGTACTGCCCCATAGCACAGGTGGCAGCTTAGTGTGGTGGCACCCAGAGTTCACACCTAGCATCTTGGAGTGATGCCATATGGCTTCCCAGCTATAAGAATGGGGCCTGTTTATAGACAGTCTCACTCAGAGATACAATGAGCAGAGAACATTTCCTTGGGGGAGGCTGGAGAATCCTCATCACACGTTGGTAGAGCAGATCTGAAGTTGGTTGAATCATTGCCCACTTGAATGTTGACTGTTTCTGATAGCTTTTTTTTTCTTCCCCAAGATGAGAGACATCCCAAAGAGGCCTTTTTCTCAGTGTTTATCGACAATTATTTCTCCCCTGTTTGCAGAGGTAAATCCCTGGCTGCACTTCTTGGGAGGGGTGAGAAGGGAGGAAGAGGGGAGTGGGGCCATCCTTCTGTGGGACCACTGTCAGTACAAGTTGGGTGCATTAAAAAAGCTGGCAAAGGCAGGCTCAGTATGTCTGTATTGTGTGTGGTGAGCCATTAACTTTGGTTACTACCTTCCATAAGCCAAGCATGTTACTAGGGAAAGTTACATGAATTTCCTCATTTGTCAGAGGCTGTTTAGACTTTACTGGGCTTAAACTGTTGAAATCATTCTTTATACCTATCTGGAATTAATCCTAAATGCAGTAATTCTAGAGTTTTTGGAGAACCAAAAGGTCAACCTCACTGACATCTTTTCCCAAGTATGTGCTTTGGTTAGTGATCATAGCTGGTAACTGGAGTTCAGTGTTCAACACCCCTTATTTTAGATGATAGTCATTAGAGTTCACCGACGGTAATTATACGCCAACATGAGGACATTTATGACAAGGTATTGGTGACCCGTTGCTGTTACTCTGCTGTGTGCCTAGGGTGATCACTCACATTAGTGACCAATAGAGCCCATCTAGTCCAGCACAGTCCTGGGAGAAGGGAGGGGCTGTGCTTCCTTGCTCCTGTGTTGAGGTACACAGCTGTGGCTCAGATGGGAGGCAGAGGAGCAGTGGATTACAGATTATTTTCTTGGGACTTTATAAATCCTGTGCTGTAGGAAGTGACAGGGATTGCTAGCAAATGTGCTTGCTCAAAGTCAACTGTGTTGTAGCCTGGCAAACAATGTAACAATGTTCTCTGTATATGTGGCCCCCTCCAAGGCCAGCCATGGTCAGCCAGTATTTCCATAGGTGGTTTGGAGCAGGGCGAAAGATGCTTTTAGGGTGACAGTAGTTTGTCAGTCACAGCATTGTTTACAATGCTCCGCAGGGCCAAGGCTGAACGTTTTCTAAAATATATTGTAAAGAAATGGAAGAGGGAGATTCTGAGGATGCAGTGGTATCTGCTCACCTCTGCAGCCACCACCTGGAGCCCCTTCTGGAAGGTGCTTAGTCTTGAGCTGGGCTCAGCCTAGATCTTGGTGGCTCTTGTTTCCTGGGTACCTCTGGGAAAGACTTGGAATTGACCTTCAAATCCAGGAAGTACCTGAAGACACAGTTGTTATTTCTTATGGGAACACAGGAGGGGTGCTGTGGAACCCCAGGATTCAGGATTGCTACATGTTTACATGAATAATATTTGATAATAGTCTAGACCCAAAAAGCTCTCAGCTGGAATTTTATACTAACCCATGACCATCAATGACTCCCCTGCAGTTGCCCCGTAAAGGAAGAATAGCATGTAGTAAGCATTCAACATCACTTTTCTGGGATGAGATTGAGGCTGTGCTACAAATAAAGAACTGGATACATCTTCAGACTCCTGTTTGGAGAAGGTCTCAGTTGGTGCCTGCGTTCTGGCTTAGAGAAGTCAGGCTTGGGCCCAGCTGTCATCCTGTGTGAACAGGCTGTTCTGAGAGACCTAAGATGGGGGATCCAGAGTGACACAGCAGCCTTTGAGGCTATTACCCAGGCCCTGTTGGCTCTGGCTTGGTGTCAAGGTCCTATGTGTTGCTCCCTGCAATGAGTGGTGCCTGGGCAGGTCTATGCACGTGTTGTCACACTGCTCTTCCCATGTGCCTTTTCAGCTGAAGGAGAAGAGCCAGGCATGTGGCGGGAACCTGGGGTCCATAGAAGAGCTTCGGGGAGCCATCTACTTGGCAGAAGAGGCCTGCCCAGGGATCTCAGATACCATGGTGGCCCAGCTCGTGCAGCGGCTTCAGAGGTAACTGCTGCTGGGCTCTTGGCTGAAGCTGGGGTGTAGGAAGGGTGCCCGTGATGCTGGTATGGCATCTTGCACTGAGGGTGAGAAGCTCCCACAGACTGCAGCTGGGCGTGCCCGCGTGCTTCATTCTTGGTCTGTTCCTGTTGTCTACCAGGCCGTTGGCTTTAAGGAGACCCCAGTCGGAGAAGGCTTTTTCCAAATCCTGTGAACCGATAGGAATGAGCAAAGTGAATCTGGAAAGGTTCTCAGGCCCTTGCACTTGTAGCTCTTACAGCAGAAATACAGGGTGTTTTAAACATGCCTTTTCATCTGCAATCTAATCAGCAGAGAAATAGAACCCAGCACTGCTTGTTGGCTTTCAGATTTGAAGCCCAGTGTCTAGACACAAGAAGCTTTGGTGTAGTAGACTCTGAGAAGGGGCAGGCTCTCCCTTTAATGGTTGTAATACAGAAGCCTTGCCTACACAGGCCTGTGCCCTGGCCTCAGGGAGCTTCTGTCCCCACTTGGTGGCTTTGGCTACACAGTCTCCATGTTGAGGAGTAGAAGAATTTGCAGCTTAAAGTTTAGGATAAAAAATAAAAGTGGTTTTCTTGGTTGCCTTTGATCCGAGGCCATTGAAGGAGGCAGTGATCTTTTTCAGTGATTCTCCCCGTCCCCCCAATTTGATGCTAAAAGCAATGATACATATCAGATAAAAGGGAAAGAGTTTAAAACAACCATATGCTCACTCCGGCAGATCTTTGAGATTTTGATTTGTATCATTTCATAACTATTTTTCATTAAAAAAGCCTCACCGTAAAGCAGATAAAACTAAATCTAGAAACTGTGGATATTACTACCTTGTAACTTTTCTACTTTGTAGTAAAGTGTCACTGTGTGTGTGTGTATGTGTAAGTATGTAGAGTTCAGAGGAAAACACTCAGGAGTTGATTCTCTCCTGCTACCTTCTGGGATTCCAGGAATTGAACTCAGGTTATTCAAGTGCCTTTTACCCACTGAGCCATCTCACTGGCCCACTATTTTTTTTTTTTTTTTTATAATGAGGCTTTGCTATGTTGGCCATTTAGTCCTCAAACACTTGGTCCTCTTGCCTCAGCCTCCAAGTACTTGGGACTAGAAATGTATATCACTACACCTGCTTTGAATTACCTTCAGGAGTGGTATTTTCCATGTGGTCAGAATTCCTCTTATGCATGGTTATGAGTGGTTGATATATGTGACTTATTTCCCTAGTAGCTCAGGCATAGGAATGAGGCTTTGCTATGTTGGCCATTTAGTCCTCAAACACTTGGTCCTCTTGCCTCAGCCTCCAAGTACTTGGGACTAGAAATGTATATCACTACACCTGCTTTGAATTACCTTCAGGAGTGGTATTTTCCATGTGGTCAGAATTCCTCTTATGCATGGTTATGAGTGGTTGATATATGTGACTTATTTCCCTAGTAGCTCAGGCATAGGTAGTATGATATGTGCATACCTAATTGATCTTTTTCCCAGTACTGGGACTCCCTTGTCTTCCTACTGATGCATGTGATCTGCCAGCTCTGTCCAATAAAAATGTAATGGGATCCAAATGTAGACTTTTGCTTATTTATCTAAAAAAAAATTTTTTTTTTATTATTGTGTGTGGAGTGGAGTGGTCATACATACGTGCCATGTTGCGCATGTGGAGGCCAGAGGACAACTGTGTGGAGTTGGTTCCCTCCTACCTTTATTTGAGTTTCAGGGATCAAACCAAAATTGATAGGGGTCTGTACAACAAGTGCCTCTCCCATCTTGCTGGCTCCAAAATGTGATGGTTATGAATTCTTTGGGTGGTTAATGATGAAAGCTAGTAGTTTGAGAATCTCTAGCTCTATTTTTTTGTGTTTTTATGTATGTGTGCATTTTTGTGGTGCTGGGCTTGAACCCTTGGTCTTAAGCATACTAGGCAAATTCTCTACCACTTAGCCATATCTCCAGCCCTCTTACAATAGGATTCTAAATTTTTTAGAAGCTATACTAAAGTAGAAACTAGCAAGATTCATTATAATATTTGGTCATCTCCTGTTGTGGCCTTCCATTTTCCCCCTGGGTATTCCTGAAGGCCCACCAGCCACAGGATGCTAAAGCAGTAGCTGTTACTTCAGCCTCTTACCAGTTTGCTCCTGATTTGTTGCCTCAGTGAGTCACCTCAGAACTGGCTTTTATCTAAAGCACTTTCAGAGCCTTCCCATCTTGGTTTAATTGCTGTTTGGATCCTCTAGTGAGATCAGCTCATCTCTTCACCATGACCATGATGAGTCATTTGTATTTCTTGACATTTGAGTTGTAGATGCTGTGACTAAAATATGCCAAGTGAATCTTATGGAGCCATTTGGATATTTAAAATATGTCCCTGGCCATCTACTGGCCCTGTGACTCAGTCAGTTTCAGGGTGACTGAGAGAATCTTAATCATGACTTTGACACCTTCTGAAGTAAGACAACAGTCTAGAATTTTTGGCGAACAGAAATTATACCTGTCCTACCCTTGCAACTCATCATTATCATCCTTGTTTTTATGCAGTGCCTTCTGAAGTTATATGCAAATTGTAAACTTAATTGCCCCATGTATGTGCAACTTACAGTGCTCATGTGACTACTTTTCTATAGTATTTTTGACAAAGAATTTGTCTGTGTAAACCACGTGTACAGCTTACATATTTTACATATGGATATATTTTTATTACTTATGTGAAGTTTTAAATTTCCTATTTGCATAATTCTGTGCTTTAGAGCACCAAAATTGCTTCAGAATTATTGTAACTGTAAAAGGTCCTCGTGACCATTTTCATGAAAACACATTGTTCCTCTTTTGGGCCATGTTTCTGGACCATGCTAGAAGTGGAATGCCTAGACTACATTGTGTATTCATGCCCAAAAGGGTGCCCTGTACTTGGGCTCAGATTAACCAGGGGTACATACCCTGGGCTCTTACTGTTTGATTGGTTGTCATTAGTTTTCAGGAGTTGATACTAGGCTCAGAGGGTAGAGTGTTTGTTGCACAAGCAGACATCTTGAGTTTGAATCCACAGCACTCACATAAATGTCGAGCGGAGCAGTACATGTCTATAACTCCAGTGCTGTTGGAGAGAGGGAGCGGGAGAGAGAGGAGAGACAGAGATGCAAAGGCATCTAGGCAGATAGGTAGATTCCAGGGCTTGGTAGCCAGCCAGTGTAATTGAAATGGCAGACTCCAAGTTCAGTGAGAGACACTGCCTCAAAAACTAAGGTTGAGTGCTAGAGGAATATCCCCAAAGTGAACCTTTGGTGTCCACATGCACTTGCACAGACGAACACATGTACAGACTCATGCATATAAAACACACACACACACACACACACACGCACAAAAGATTGTTAAAGAGCTCAATGTCTAAATATTCATCTCTTCCTTAGGAAGGCTGAACACAGCATCATTTTCTATGTATTATGAAGTTTTGTGTTAGAACCATGATTTTCCTATGAGTTCTCTATATATAACAAATTTGTTAACTTGGTGATTCTTGTTTCACTGAATTAAAAAAAAATGAAGCTTCTATAAAAAATGTAAGATTTTGATTATTTGAAATTTTGCGCTGGTTTCAGAAATGGTGTGTATTGACTTCTTTCTCTTTCTGCTTTCCCTAGATATTCTCTGAGTGGTGGAGGAACTTCAGCTCATTGAAATTCCTTTGGCATTTGGGGTTTTGTTTTTCCTTTCTTCATCTTCCTTCTTTTTAAAAGTCAATGAGAGCCTTTGCCGACTCTGGAAGAGGCACCACCCAGGGGTCATTCCCCCAGAGCCGCCAGCACCTGTCCAGGGACACACAGTCCTCACTGTGCCACAGCCAGATGAAGTCCTTCAGATGGGGTGGGGAGGGTCTGCTCCTTCAAGCAATTATTTTATTTTTTTATTATTTTTAATTTTAACCATAGTGCACATACTCAAGGAAAGTATCTTTAAACACAAAAACCCTGAAATGTATATTTGGGATTGTGATAAGGCAACTGAAGACATGAAACCTCAGGTATCCTGCTTTACACTGACAGCTCCCCCTGGGAGATGGAGAATCGCTCTGGTGGATCGGTGTACAGATTTGTATATAGCATCCTTTTTACAGAAACCCTTTTGGCGTGCATAAGGAATCACTGTGTACAAATTGGCCAAGTGCTTCTGTAGATAATGTCTGTGGAGTAAATATTTGACAGGCCATAACTTGAGTCTATTGCCTTGCCTTTATTACATGTAAATTTTGAATTGCGTGACCAGTGATTTGGATCTTATTTTGTATTTGCAGGGTCTGCCATTAATAATAATTAATGCCCCTCTTATGGAACACTCCTATTTGTACCTCAACAAATGCAAATTTTCCTCTTATTTTCCCTATACCCCTTTTTGGTACACTTAGAGTTGATTTCCTTTTTCATCGATGGTACTATTTCTTAGTGTTTTAAATTGGAACATATCTTGTCTCATGAAGCTTTAAATTATTTTAAGTTTTCTCCCAGATGAAGCGCTCTCATCTAACCTTCGTTGAATCATGCCACTGCTGGTCTGCACCCAATGTACCATCTTTCCCAGCCCTTGCCCATTGCACCTTGAAGTGGAATCTGCATATCATCTTTCCCATTTGAAAGTGTCTGAATGCTTACATGAATAAATTTTATAACTCACTAATTTTGATTACTGTTCTTGAAACATGGCTCTACAGAGCAGATGGGGCACCTGCTCTGTGTGAGTGTGTGGTTGAGTGTGTGGCCATGTGTATGGTGAGACATTTTGAAGGACTCCAGGGAAAAGTGCCCAGATTGTTAAAGAGCTGAATGTCCAGGTCAGCTCCCTATGCAAATTTGTGTGGTTGGTTGGTTGAGAAGATGCAGCTGGATACCGCTATTTGTGAAAACTGCTGAACCTCTTGCTGAGGACTTTAATGGGAGGTTTTAGTTTTCTCTAAGGAGCCAAGTCTGCTGGTGCTGTCAGCCAGGGTGTCAGTTTTTCTTTGTTTACTGCAAGGCATTGCTTGATAGGGTGGGACTTCTTGGGGTTTTTAACAGCATTTCTTGTCTTTATGCAGATACGTATAGTGTTTGTTGATACTAATTATTGTCTTGTTGGAGTGGTAGATCTTGAGGAGAAAGATGAGTTTTTTGATGCAAGAACATTATGGGGTGAACTTGGGCTCAGCTGTCTGCTGGTATGTTACAGCTGTATGCTGGATGTTACAGGGAGCTCAGGTCCAAGTTAGTGTTGGGAATGAGGCTTGTTAAAATTTGTTAAATGAAGTCTAGTTTTTAGGTCTATTGAATTGTTCTGTTTTATCAGAAGTAGATTTGAGTTGGACTAATAATTTCAACAGTGGATACATTTGGGTTCAAGGAAATAGAATGCAGCTGTTTGTTATTTTATAGTTAAGACTGTTACCTTGTATGCTAGGTTTGGGAATGTCATGTTTCGAGAGTATTTTGTTGGAGTGTACTATGTTTTCCTGTCTGAAGCTTGAGGCATAAACCAAAGGTCAGTTCCGTTGCAGGAGAAAGTCACTCAGAACAATGTTCTCCTGGATGTACTGTGTATTTGATCTGAAGAGCAACCCTGCAAACAGCAGGCTTTTCTGATGGCTAGAGCTCTTCAGATTTACAGATGGACAGCATCTTGACTTTTGATGTTGAAGCCAGTCTTCTTCTATTTGTGGTGTTTGGAATTGAACCCATGACTTTGTGCATGTTAGTAAGTACTTTACTGCTGTGCTACACCTACCTGTGAATCTGACCTTAAATATTAGCAATTGTTATTAAGGTGTGAGGTGGAGGGGTCCTTATTAAGCATGTAGGTGTGACTGTTGGTGGATTTTTTTGTAGTCACTACACTACAATGCACAATTCCTATCTCCTGGTAAAAGCAACAAATGATTCTTCGAGAGTTTATTGGAAGCTTCCTGGGGGAAGTGGGGCTTGACAGTTTAAATGTGGATTACCTCAGTGTAGAGTCTCTTCTGGGATGTTAGTTTCTATAGATACAAAAGCAGCTGAACTGTTTCTAAGGGCGTATTGTTTAGCCAGGCAAGCAGGCATTTGTGCGTCCATTTGTAGCCCCTTATTAAAAGCAGGGCCCAGTCCCAGAGTCACAACTGGCACCTGCCTCCAGGTGCAGGCTGCTGTGACTCTGGCAAGACTGATAAGTGGAACATTTGAGAACGTTTGCTGTCACTCTGAAGCCCTGCAGTGCCAAACTCGAGCGGTTCACAGCTCATGGGCTCAGAGCCTGTGGACATACTCATGCAGCCAGTGGGGACAGTATGGCACAGCATGGTGCTGTGTGGCTGACCGCTTGGCTCTGGTTAATGCCTTTTTGGTGTTATGACAGGTTGCCACTGGCTAGCCTGGGACTCAGGATCCTCCTGCTGGGATTACAGGTGTGCACCACCATGTCCAGCTCATTTATGGCTTTTTCAGGTTGTTGATCTGTCCCAGGGGTTATACCTGGTGAAATGAATCCACCAGTGTGATTTAAGAGGTTTTGGCTACCTAGCAACTGGGCTCCTCTCTTGATGGAACCTAGTACTACCTGCTTTCCAAAGTCAAGTTTTATTCTTGAGTTGCTCTTGTTATGTGTCTGGTTGGTTCTTTGTGGCATTTTGTACCTTCCTTTGGTAAAACCTGTGATCAGTTTATATGCATTTTTATAGTTTTTAAAACATGGTTTCTGTGTTTCTGCTACAAAATAATGAAGGTGGAGGGCATTCTAGAGCACTCATACTGTCATACAAGGGTCAATAAAGCTCTCAAAATAATTTTCATGTGTCTTGTGTGTTGAGGGATCTATCACACTTTCTCCTGGCAGCTTGGGAGTGGACTTGGTTACCCATATTTAGTTTTCTTCTGCAGCTACATGGGAACCACAGGTGTCCAGCAGATGGATCAGAATTGTACAGTGCTTAAGTAAGAGATCATTTTATCTCTGGTTCTTTGGTGACTTGGAGAGATCACTGTTCTGCTACAATGGCTGCTTGGTGACTGGGGCCTTCCTTTGGGTGATTCTGGGGACCCTCACTAGGAGTTCTTGCTGCATGGGAGATATGGAAGATAGGCTTCCCCACATGTCTCCCCTGCTCTCTTAGGTGCTTGTTTCCTGGCCAGACCTTCACCTTCACACACCAATCCACTAGAATGTTCTGTCTTCCCAATACATCCACGCAGTACCACCCCTGCTCCCACCACACAAAGACAAGACAAAAGGTCACCATGGTGGTTTTGCCTTCAAACATCGGTATGTTGGATGTGGCGTGAGGTATTTTTATTCCCTTTTGTTAGTACTTTAGAACCATCTGGTACATATTGTAAGGCAAATGATTAACACATCTCAAACTCTTCATCCACCTGTGAATCATGGACACCAGCCACATCTCTACAACATTGGTGGGGTCTCCATTTCTCAGGTAAGTTGGCATTCCCCCACTGGGGTGTATATATAGGGTGCTGGGAGAGGACTGTGCTGAATTGGCCAACTTTGATTGCAAAGAGCTCAATAATGTGAAAGGGAATGGCAGCCACCTGGTTGGCCTAGAGAACAGGCAAGTGTTTTTCCATTGGGGGTCCAGGATGTGTGCCATCATCCTGTCCATACCCCATGCCTGGTAGGAATAAGTGTAAAAGGAGAAAGACTTGTTTTGAAGACAGGCACAATAGATACTACTAGAGAATGTGCAGGGTCCAATCACGGGGGCTGGGACTACGTACCATACCATAGTGCTTCTCCATGAAGCTCACTCACTCATCGCCCCATAACGTAACAGCACAAATGGCCCCAGTCAGTGACATACAGTGTCTCATGTTTGTGAGACAGACAGCAAAACACCACAGCCTAAGAGCCCCCCACTGTACACACCACGCACAGGACAGTGATGGTCCAGTTATTGCACTGGATTTCTGCTTCTCTTAACAGAAAACAACCCCACTATAGTTTGTAAATAAGAATCACAAACAGTTTGGTCAACTTGGACTGAGAAAGGAGGTCTGAAAAACAGTCACTGGAGCAAACCCCTCAGGGATGGAGTGCGCTGCAAATTGCTTATTAGTTAAGGAAAGTGAGTCCTATGAATGTCCTATTATTATAAAAGTAGAAAGACTGAAAAAAATGAAATCAGAAAATGATCTCATTTGCTTAAGACTGCGCCATGTGTTGTGAACACTGGAAAATCCATTTTTGAAAACAGCCTGCAGGTGACAATAATAAAAGTCCTTTTCTAAGAAGGAAAAAAGTACTTTCCCTGTCTTCAGTTGAACGGATGTGTATGCCCTATGTTCAGAGTGAGGGCAGCTGTCATTTGGCACTCTCAGTGACAATGCTTCAATACTGGCACAAGCTAAAGAGCCCCCATGAGAATGGCAAGACAAAGCCCCCCAGACCTTGGCGGGGGGGCTATCCATTCCAACGAGATTAAGAGTGGAGAAGACAAGGTTAGGAGATGTGCCTGTGGAGGGAGGTGGGTGAGGGCTGCTGGAGAACCTCATCCTGTTCAGACAGGTATTTGCTAGGCTTCATTATATAGAAGGCCGGTGTCTTCAAGAAAGCAGCCGAGGCTGGGACAACCAAATGTGTCCAGCCATCAATAGAGGTGAGATTCTTTGTGACTCAAAATGTGGACCCGAGAGGCTGAGCTGGTGGCACTTCGGATCACTTCCATCCACCTAAACACAGAAGAAAGTGACATGATCATCTCAGGCGACCTGTTAGGTGACTTTTTATAAGCCCCTGTCTGATTTATATCACACTTCATGCCACTTGATCAGTACTTCAAAGACACCATGCAGTGCAGCCTCAGTAGTAGTAGAGCCCATTAAAGAATGCCTCAGCACTTAAGCAGAGGGTTCCTGGAGTAGTACTTGAGGAACATAGTTTGGGAACCATCCAGTTGGGTGTGCTCATCACACAGAGAGCCAGAGTCAACACACTCCATATTGAGCACGTCAGGGACATTGTAACAATTGTATCTCATTCTGCCCGGTAGGGCTACCATTTTGTACATCTGCAATAAATAAAGGGTTTCAGCATGGATCAGTGCTGTCGCCGACACTTCTGGTTGTCACAGTTGAGTGGTGTTACTGGCCTCCAGTGGGTGAAATTCAGGAGTATTGATAAATAGACTATAATATTTAGAATAATCTCCAAAGGTATCTATCTGGTCTAGATAATATCAGGAGTGCTAAGGAGGGTGAAGAAGGCTGTCTGACCCCTGACCCCCCCACCCCCAACACCAAGGACTCACTGCAAGGTTGCATACATTATCTGTTAGCAGTAACAGGATCTGTCTTGGTAAGCCAGCTCTAAAGTATAGCTTCCAAGTCCAAGCTTTCCAGTTGAGGATCAAGTCAGAATCACTACCTTATTGGGCTCATTTATAAGCAGCATGACTTAGGAACTGCTGACTGTGGGTTTCATGGGAATTTTAAACAACTTGTCTGCTTCCATGGAAATTTACCAGGGATGGCACATTTTCTAAATGGCCCATTGATTTAGAAATAACTTTTGGGGTTCAGTGCCATCAAGGGAACAAGTCACCATCCTGACAACAGCATGACCAGGAGAGAAGTTGCTCCCTAGGTGAGGAACTGACTTGATGGGGCCCCTGATTGGTAACTATAGTCCTGTGACCTTGGCCCTTTTGGTGGCATTTCAGCAGGGACAGCTAATGAAAGTTGTCTGTGGGATGCTACTCGAAGCCCTGAAGTTGCTGCTTAGATATGAATTCCAGGAACAGTTTTAAGGCAGAGCTCACACGCAACAACCTGGCTCTTTGTATCTCACTCAGGTCTTTGTTGAATTAAGACCGCTGCTTGGGCCTTAACACCATTCCACCACGCGTGGAATAAGGACCCTTCAGAATTTTTTCCTTGTATGGTCCTTTGACTACAATGAGCCTTTGGCTGGCACCCAGTCAAGAGTGGGAACTGAAGGGTTGGCATTTTTCACAATGGAAACACTTTCTTTGGGCCTAGGCAGGTGGAGCCCCACAGTCCTGAGGCCCCTCTGCTTAAGTGTGCCTGACTTGCAGCTTTGCTTCCTGGTATGATGTGCACACCTACCAGGTTTGGAGGTTTCAAAGTACAGCACTGACATGCGCTAACTGTACAGGCTGAGAACTGATGTTATTAAGCAAGGGAGTCAGGACTATACCTGATTAACCTATTAACCGTGGGTAGGGCCAGGAGATGGAGATAAGGTAGGCTCACAGAGAACTCCTACCCTCAGTAAAGGGAAACCCTGATGTTGGGCAGGGGACCCTTAACCTGCAGGTGGTACACAGGAGGACACCTACCTTTCAAAGGTATATTCACTTTCAGCCCTGAAGTAGTACACGTGGGACTTGAAATGCAGCTTGAATACATAGTCCTTGTGGATGTTCTCAGACTCCAAGGGAATGGTGAGTGAGTAGCCCAGCAGAGGCAGGCTGGCGAGTGGGTGATTGTCCTGGAATGGGGACAGAGGTGGGAGTGGTCAGTGGTGGGTATGACTGCTGCTCTGTTCAAGGTGTTGGGATCAGGAACAGGATGGACTAGAAGCAGCCAGTCTTGGCTCATGCACTGTGGTCTCACAAGTGAGTCTGTAAAGAATGGAATCTACCACTAGGGGGAGGCATGCCCTTGTCGCCTCCCTTAAGGGTTGATCCAGTGGGACAGGTCAGGAATCTGGCTAAGGGATCACCCCTAGGAAGATGGGTTCACCTTGAGTTAATAATGTACTTTTCCTTCCCAGCATTGCTGCCTCCTAGTGCAGTCCCTAGAAGCCCCTGTGACATTCACTTGGGTCAGGCTGCCCTTCTGAGTCCTGACTCGGGCATAACCATTCTCTTTTCTTTTGGATGTTGGCAGAGCCAAAGTATGCTTTTAAACTCCCTAACTAATGCTTTGGCCTTCCTCCTCTTTCTAAAGCTTTTCTTGATGCTGCCTGTGGCCATGTGGCTGACCGCCAGGCCTGCTTATCTTCTCCATTCTCTTCCAGACAATTGCAAGATTTAAGTTTGCCTGCCCTAAGGTTTTCCATTTAAACTAATGTCCTCAAGCTTCTGTTTGAGTCCAGTCTTTCTTTGTATCCTTGTCCTTGAGCTTTTCTTTATGTCTGTGAGGCTAACAACCCCAAGAGGGGACCCTGGTTTCCCCACTATCATGTGATGGTTCTGCTGGGACTCCCTAAGGTTGAAACCTGTAACACTTCCTTCATCAATGGAGATGAACCAGTTCCTACATCCCTAGAAGGCAAGTCACCCTCCATACCTAGTAGCAACCAGGTGGCCTTTGAAAGCTCACCTTCTAGCAAATGGATAATATCAGTGTTCACTTAGAGCTAAAGGTCTGATGGACATGGCTGGCTCAGGAACCCCAAAATAGGGCACCCCCTACCCCCCATGCCTACTTCTTGCCTATCGTGGTTTGGCTGGACTGGCTCCAGTAGGCTTCCTGCCATAACTTGGCATGCTGCATGAAAGCATGGTGACTCTGCCACTCTGCTTCACCAGGCACACCTCACTTGGACCCACCTGCTCCACAACCAGCACTTACCTGGTGTGACTTGTAGAAGAACAGGCAGAAGTTCGTGAACACCACCCACAGCTTCTGCCACCCATTGCTGTTTTTGAATTTCCTCAGAAGGTTCCCAGACAGTTGGTTCTGAAAGACAAGTGAGCTGGTGAGTGGCACAGCTCCGTGGCAGGACACAGGCACCCCCCTCGGAGTGAATACTGGAGTGCCTTGGCTTCTTGCAACAGGCTTATCACTCTCATGGAGAAGGTCTTGATTCTGTGATGAATTCGTGTCACCTGTCAGGTTAAATTATGTTCTTTCAGAGATGCTGAGGGTGTTGTCTGTAGTACCCTGGAATGTGACCTTATTTGGGAGTAGAGTGGTTGAAGCTATTATAATTAGTTAAAATGAGATGATCCTGGGGGTAAGAAGGGCCCTGGATCCAATTTGAGTGGTGTCCTTATAAAGAAGGGATTCAGGGACACTATGTGACAACAGGCAGCGATTAGAGTGAAGCATCTGTGGTCAAAGGACACAGCAATGGTCAGCCAATTTTCTAGAAGAGGGAAGGAGTTCCTTACAGACCTCAAGAGAAGCCTGGTCTGCCCCACAGTTGGATTTTGGATTTTTAAGCCACTGGGTTTGGGCATCTTTTCTCTGGGAAACAGGATTGAAAGACACCCTCTGCTGCCACCTAGTGGGCCATACCAAATGCCAGTCTCCTGCCCCTGCTACACCAGACAAAGGTATTCCAGATTCTGGACATCACCACCCCACCCCACACACATCCTGCAGGTCCTGTGAACACTCAATGCTTTCAGAGTACAGAGGATCTGGGGCAAAGTGGAAAGTGGGGGCAGATGCTGGTGAAGAGCATTGTGAACGCACAGACAGATCATGCAAAGACATCCACTTGCCCTCCTGACAAGCTGACGTTTTGTCTGTGTTAAGGTGACATTAGCAGAGGAGACTCAAAGTGAGAAGTGTATGGTAGTGAAGGCAGGCAATGCCATTCAACTCTTCACTGAAAATGGTTAAATTTCCAGTTTCAAAAAATAACATGGGGCTGGAGAGATGGCTCAACGGTTAAGAATGCATATTATTGCAGAGGACACAAGTTTGGTTCTCAATGACTATATTGGGGTAGCTCACAACTACCTGAAATTTCAGCTCCAGGTGATCCAACACCCTTTTCTGGCCTTTGTAGGTACCTGCACACATGTGCACATATGTGCACATGCACAATCAATAAAATCTTAGGCACTGTATCTGTCTGTTTTACTCTTTAAAGTCAGGGTCTCCCTGTAGCTCCAGATCCAGGTTGGCCTTGGATCTCACTGAGATCCACCTGCCTCTGCCTCTGAATGCTGGAATTAAAGGTGCGCACCACCACTGGGCTCTACTCCATCTTTTTAAGTGTGTAAATAAAGCCCTAGGCTAGAAGTTGAGATGGCAACATTTAAAGGGCCCACCCTCCAGCTGCTTAGTCTGATGGGGGAGAGGGGACAGAAGAGAGCAGGAATGGGCCAATCCTGAATGTGCAGTGGCTGAGTGGAACCGAGAGGGACTTTGCAGCTGAAGTGGGAGAAGGGATTTGGTTTAAACTTTTCATCCTGTGTGGTTGCTACCGACCCACCTGCAGAAAGGGACAGAGACATGCAGGGCAGTGGGCTCCTAGCAGGGCTTGTTGCCCCTGCAGTGCCACAGGGCTACAGGGTTGTACACTGAAGGGGAGGAGACTGTCAGACTGAGACCACAAACCACACACACACACACACACCCTCCCTTTATGCAGCCGCCTGAAGTACTTACACAACAGGCCTCAGACAAACCCTTCTGCCTGGCCTTCCTCCCAGACCTTGCTAAGCAGTCACTGCTCTGTCCTTGTAGTTTCCCTCGTCACCAACCTCAGCAGAACCCTCCGTTCAGTGTCTTGTCCGGTCACATGTCCATGTGGACAGCTCTGCTCCATCTCCAGCTGTTCTGGTCTCTACTCAGAACAAGTTGGCACTCCTCCTTGCTGGCACTCACAGGGACTGATAGGTCTTGTGTCCTACAACCTCAGCCCCTATTTTAGGTTAGATGTTTTCAGGTCTAACTTTCCCCTCCCCATCTGTGAATGTGGCTCTTTCACAAACAGGGTATACTAATTTACCACGAGTGACATTCTTTGTAAGTAGACACCTGATATAGACCTAGGGAGAAGGCTATGTACCCACAGAGGCAGAGACTTGGTCATATCACGCTCATATGGGCTGAGGACAATGTCTAAGAAGCTGGCAGTGAGGCAGATTTTCCCTGAAGGCCTCCAAGGACAAGCCCACCTACACCTTGATCATGGACTCTTGACCTCCAGTGTTGTGAGAGAATAATCTTGCATTTTAACCAGTGTTCCCTTCTATTATGGGAACCACAAGGACCAAATTCAGGCCTTATGCTCCACTGTCCCCTTTGTTCTTTCAAAGAACTTCCTAGAGGCCCACTCTGGATCCCAGCTCCCATCTTAAAAGAAACATTCTTGTCTCAAAGCCACCCTGGCTCTGCTTCCTCCACTGTCTGCTGTCCCCACAGACTTTTACACTGATGCTACCTCAACTTCACACCTGAAGACATTTCTACCTGTGTGGATCTGACAGGAGTCAGAACTGGGAGGAAGTGGGACATGGGAGCAAGGAAGGGGCCATTGTGGCAGGAGGAAAAGAAGCTGCCTCTGCCTGTGACAAGCAGGGCTGGAGATTCATTAGCCAGCTAGGGATTGTTTTGGCATCTGACACATGAAGCAGCCTACCTCACATGCGAGACTGAAGCAATGCACATCAGGAGGGGGTTTCCAGGGAAGGACACAGAAGAGTGACATACCAGCCAGTTCCATGAGTTTTGAACCTTCATCATTACTGCCTATGAATATAATGCTTTCCACCCAGACTGGGCAAGCTTCCCAAGCTTCACTAAGTGAGCTAGGCTCTGCAGGCTGAGAGGCAAAATCAGAGACGGGATATAATAGCTGTTTCGAAATGTTAAAACCTGAGCGTTATCCCAGGGGCTGAGTTGGGCTGCCCTATGGGTCACATTACTGACCTTGGTCTGAACAGGCCAGATCATGTAGACGAGGATTGCACTTGTGTGATGAGTTACCTTCAGGAGTGGGGCCTGAAGAGAAGCCTGTGCCATCAGAACCCTGACTTCAGAATCTGCTGCTTGAATAGCCCAGGTGCCTTCGGGGACCCCAGCAGAGATGGAGGCCTATAGTACCCCTAGCTTAAAAGTGAAGCATTGGGGCCGGAGAGATGGCTCAGCGGTTAAGAACACTGGTTGTTCTTGCAGAAGACCCGGGTTCGAATCCCAGCACCCACATGGCAGCTAACAACTGTCCATAACTCCAGTTCCAGGGGATCTGACAGCTGCTTCTGTCCACCACAGGCATTGCACGACATGGGTGCAATTACTTACATATAGGCAATACGCTCATAAAATAAAAATAATAAAATATTTTTTAAAAATGAAGCATCACACCAGGAAGAACTCTAGGAAATAAGGATATGATGGTACCTATCCACTAGCTTCACTAAAGCAGACCCACTGGATCTGAGGGAGTACTGTGCTCCTGAGGGGGTCTACAGTGCTTCCCTGCTGCCTTGAAGCGAGGGTACCCGCTCTTTTTTCTGTGATAATCTTCCTTTGATATGTCCTCTGCACACAGACCAAGCAAAAGGGTAACACAGAAGCAGAGCACCAAGCAAGCAGCCTGTTAGTAAGCAGGGGGAGGAAATGTGCCCACCAGATACCAAGGCTGGGCACACCCAGGAAGAAAGGATGTACAGGAGGAGCCGGGGTCTTGGCTGGGCCCCCTTGAAGATGTCTTCAGGACACAACTGTGGCAGCAAACTCAAGGCAGATCTGGAAACTGTCACTTGCAGAGAACAATTTCAAGACTGGGCACATTTCCAATCCCTTTGGATCAAAGAGCCAACAAACTACTGTCCTTGGTGCACTGTCTTTCATGTGACATTGTGTGGCCAAGGCAAGCCAGAAATGAGAACTTTGTCTACTTCAGAAAGTGAGTCTAGCCTTTTCTGCAGAAGTGGCCCTCCACAGGAGGCCACGGGCACAGGCACTGTGGATGACTAGAAGGGGCTAGAGAGCCTTGTGCTGGCAACAGACAGAGAAAAAGCTTTGCTGTTCTCAGAGCTTCCTAGGCTTAGAATGTTCTATTTGGAAAGGTCTGGAAGGTTTCAGTGTAGTGAGCCAGGGGAGGACTCACCTTCAAAAGCCAACTTTCAGTCTGGAGTCACAGAGCTGACATGGAGACGCCTACCCTGTGGTCCCATTTTGGGATCCCACCAACTGTAACCTAGCCCTGCTGGAACCACGTTGCCCACTTTCAGACCCAACTGCCTCCTGGTATAACTTGTTTCCTGGGAGGTCCATGCTAAGACACAGCTGCCCTGGTGTTCGGAGATGCTGGCTGGGTATGGGCCACTCTGCTATACATGAACAGACACTTCCTTATGGCTAACTCCATGAAAGGAAATATGGAGAATGAAAGAAAATGATGAGGCTTATGGGTGGCAGGAGACTAAAAGAGGGCAAGAGCTGAACCTGCGTTTACAGGAGAGCACCTACACAGGATGGCCACAGCAAGCTTAGGCTTGTGTCCCCAGGCTTGCTCTTCTGCTCTGGCTGACCTCATGACCGGGGCTTATGAGTAGCCAGACATACAGAATCCCTGTAAGCTCAAGGTTGGAGATGAAAGCTGCCCTGTGGTGTTCCCATCTACCGTACCTCCACAGCAACGCTGAAGTCCACCATGGAGACGCTGGTGTTGCGATGCCAGCATACGTGCACCATCGTGTTGCCACGGTGAGGGGCCTGGCGCTCCAGCGAAGTGCGTGAGGCGCTCAGATCATCCTCTGACTCCTGGTCAGCCGCTGTGGCTTCATCTGGGGACTCTGCAGGAAGTGACATAAGGCAGCACTGATCTTTGCTCTTTGCTCTTTGGGGTACTGTGGAAGGTTGGGGGTAGGGAGCTCCCAGTGTGGCTCCCCAGTGCTCAATGAGCAGATTCGGATGAGGCCTCCACGGTGGGGAGTATCCTAAGTATCTCTTGCTCTGGGTGGGAGACCTGTAATGCCCAGACATGCAGCCTGCCACTTCTCCACAGAGAGCTAATGCAGGGCAATCCTGGTTGGGAAGAGATGACATGCCTGCTCCCTCACATTCTTTTCAGGGTTTCACTTTTAGACAAAGGGAGTTTGGAATTTCCGGACTGGCCCCAAATGCAGAACATGGACAAGAGGCCTACCTGAAAGGTGCTGACTATCGCTCTCTGAACCGGAGCCTGTTCCCCCTTCAAGGACAGTCCCTATGGCCATGGCCTAACACATCCACAGCACTTACTGTTGTCAGGGGGGCTGCTGGCAAGGAGCTCAGGGGTAGGTCCATTGCTTTTCTCTGCCAAGTCAATGGCCATCTGGATGTCCTCGATCCACTTTTCCATCTCTGACCGGGAACTGAAGACAGAGTTGGTGTTAGCTTTGCAGACCATGGCAGGTCAAAGGTAAAACAGTAAGAGGTTGGGTTCTGGAGTTACCTGGCAGCCACGATGATGGACTGTCGCTGGCCCCGGAGGGTCAGGCAGTGGGGCACCCCCCATTCATCCTCACTCTCTTCGATCTATAGGAGGAAGAGTTGATCAAGTCACTGGCAAGCAGTGAGCCAGGTACTCAGTACATTCGTAGACACTTACCAAACTGACTACTGAACCAGCAGGGCCCAGAGGAGTCAGTCCCTGCATACACTTCCTCCCCCATCTTCTGAAAAGGTTGGTATAAGCCAGGACCATAGGAGGCAGAGGTGGGTGCCCTGTGTGCACTGCTGGCCAGGATGCAATGTGGGACCTGCTCACTGTTCCCCTTGGGCAGGACAAGTTGATCTTGTCACCACTGAGAGGGTTCTGCTATGGGAGCCCTACAAGATCAGGGAACAGGGAATGGTCTATCCCACTCACTTCCCGAGTGCATGCTCCCTTCCACCAGGCAGCCAGAAGCAACAGTTGCCTCATACACTCACCGTCATGCCGTAGAGTGGGAGCTGCCCGTGGACCTTAAACTGATTAGAAGCCGTCAGCCCCCGGCTGGTGTACAGCAAGACATCGTTGAACTAGTGGAACAAGCAGAAGTGTGTGGGCTGAGTGGGCATCTCCTACCTCCCAGGACCCCCAAGGGAGTGGACGAGACCAGCCTGAGGATCTTTCTTGCCTTGTGGCGACAGGGTTTCAGGACTGTCAAGGACAAACAGCCTGACACACTCTGACAAACAGCCTGACCCACTCACCAGGAAGAACATGCGCTGTTGAAGCCCCTTCCCGGAGAGCTTGCTGAGGCTGCCCAGGCGGATGAACTCCTGTGGAGCAGACAGAGCCTCAGTTTACCAAGAGAGCCTGAGATGGTGCCTGACTCTAGCCTCTGAGCCCTGAACCCTGTCCTGTGCTCCCAGGAATGGTGCTTAGAAGGCAGTGTTGTCTCTCCCCTTCCTGGGAGCCTGTGAGGCAGGGGCCTCTCAGTTCCACCTCAGACAGGAAACAGGCCAAAGTGAGTGAGAGAGAAGCGGATATGCATACGCAGGGAGCTGTGTCCACATTCTGGCTTGTCTGAGGACAGTGCATCTAACCCTTCAGCTGTTCACACAGAGGGAAATGACTAGGAACCCAACCAGTTTTCAGGAAGAAAGAGACAGCCGGGGATCAGGAAGATGGTACAGTGGGTAGAACAATTTTCATGACTACAACGTTGGTTTTTAGAAACTGGTAGCTGTTTCAAGTATAAAAAAGCAACGGGTAATCAATCTAAGGAACTGCCTCCTGAGCCATGTTTTCTTTGTCCAAATTTCTGAAAGCATGGATCTCACAACACTGTTTTGTTTTTGAGATTTGTTTTTGTGTTTTTTAGACCAGGTCTCACTGTGTAGCCCTGGCTAGCCTGGAATTTGCTATATAGACCAGGTTGGCCTCAAACTCAGAGATCCACCTGCTTCTGCCTCCCAAGTACTGGGATTAAAGGTGTGTGCCACCACACCCAGCCTAAGATAGGGTCTCATTATGTTTCCCAGCCTGGCTGCAAACTCCTAGGCTTAAGTGATTCTCCCACGTCAGCCTGGCATTACAGGCATATACCTTTGTCTAGCTAATAAGCATTTTAAAATTGGAGTTAAATGCACATACAACCCCATTCATAACTATAGTGCCTTCACAGTGTTGCCGAATTTAGACCCTCTGGGAGTCTCTCATTGGCTCCTGTTTCACTCAGGTTGACTTTGAACAGTTAGGGAGGCAGCATGGTGAGCCAATACCTACACTAGTGAGGTGGCTCTGAAGTTGGTACCAGCATCCCAATTCCAGCCTCACAAGTAATAATGATACCACTTTTCCTGAGCATGTGGTCTGTTTCCTGACACATCCTTTAGGCTCCAAAGAGGAGCCTAAAGTCCAATATTAGATAGTCCCATTTTCAGATAAGGAAGCCAAAATAATTAAGAGACTTGCCCACGACCACCTGGCTGGCTCACAGGTGACAGAGCTGGCACCTGAGAGAAGTCTGTGAAGCTGTGCAGTGTGTGGATGCCTTTCTGGGATGACTGGCTGTGATGAGCTAGTCTAGCTTCAGAACAAGGCTGTTAATTGCTTCAGGGCAGGCTGGCTTCAGAACACGGCTGCTGTTGCCGCCAAGTAGGACCATTATCTTGTCAGAAAGCTAACCATTTCAAGACTAGCTATGGTTGGTCTTAGGGCATTGTGATTACTGTAGAGCATCCTACATTTTAATGAGCAGACAGACCTGGATCATATGTATCTATCCGCTAATGACCTATGATCTTAACCCAGATTTCCAGTCTCAAGAAGAAGTAACTCATACATAAATAACTCACCTTAGCAAAATAAGGAGAGGTCTACCCAACCATCCAGATTAGGAACCCCACACAGGTACCCTACCTGATAAGAACTAGCCATTTTCTTTTGAACCACTATAAAAAGAGCCTAAACTCCCTATGTGGGAACTTACCTGCCACTTTCTTGCAGTGCACTTCAGTAAATCTGCTCTTTGCTTATTCTGGGCTTGGTAAATTTTTTTTACCTACCCATGTCCCCCACCAGCCTTGCAGATGTCTCTTGGGACACAATGTAACCGGTGACACTCCAGTAAGAACATGCTTAGATCCCCCTGTTAAAGGAGGCCCTCCTATATCACTCACCTATCAAGAAAATTCTCTCAGATAATGCCTGGACCAGTCCAACAGAGGAAATTCCCTAATTGAGTCTCCCTCTTCTCAGGTGGGTCAAGTTGACAATTAAAGCTATCTAGCACAACTGGGCTTCCCAAAGAGTTATACGAAGATTGGTAAACATGGTTAGTCTTGGTAGAATTTTTCTCACCAAATATGCTGAAGTGAATCCCACCCTACATTTACCATGTAACTGACGGTCTCTTACCACTTGCTTTCTAGTCACTTTTGTGGCTAGGTTTCTGGACAGAAACACCCAAACACCTAGTGCTTCCCCCATGGGTCCAACGTCCTGTGGATTAAGACTTACCTGGGCAGCAGGCTACATAGCTCAGTTGTTAAAATACTTGCCGTGTAAGCACGAGGACTTGAGTTTGAGCCCTAGAATCTATATACAAAAGCCAGCCTAGCCTACTCTGTGATGTCTAGGCCAGTAAGAGACCCTGTCTCCCCAAAACTAAGGTGGACAGCACCTGAGGAAACACACTGGAGATCGTTGACTTCTGTCTCCACACGTATATAAGTGCACGTTCAGTCCCCTCAAAGGCATGTAAAGTTGCCAGAGCAGAGCAGTGTGTGATGGATCATACCTGTAATCCCAGTGCTCGGGAATCAGGAGGTGGAGGCCAAGGATCAAGAGTTCGAGACCAGTCTGGGCTACAGAGTGAGACTTTGTCTTAAAAAAACCTAGCCAACCAAATACAGTTTCCATGACCTGGCAGAAAAGCCCCAACTTTCTGGAGCCCTGTCTGCAGGTTAAGGCAGGCTCACAGCAGATTAAAGGCTAAACAACTCCAGAACATGGTTGGAGTAGGAAACAAGGACAGAGATCCCAGAGAGACCTGGTAAGATGTAACAACTAAATGAATTATCATCCTGATTCCTGGACAGGCTGTTTCCTACCTTCCTGTTCCCAGTGGGCTGGAAGGAAAGTCGGCATGACATTAGCCCTACCCAATCTGTGTGCTTGTTTCTAACATGGTGCCAGTAGGTGAAGGGTTCTTAATAGCAAACAAACTTGTATTTCCCAGAATTGTTTTATGATTTTTAAATAAAATTTATGTATGGAAAATTGTATTTTTTGTTTTCTTGTTGTTGGCCATACTCAGGATTGAACCTAGGGCCTCATGTATGCTAGGAAAGCACACTACCACTGAACTACATCCCCAGTCCTCTTTTATGGTCTCAGTAAGCTGCCCAGGCAGGCTGGAACTCAGCCTGTGGCTCATGTACTTGAACTTGTATCCTTATCAGGATTACATGCACTAGGTCTGACTTATGCACCAGGCCTGACTGGCATCTTCAGAAAGTACTTTTCATATTTGCATGGGACCTTTATAGTTTACCTTCACAGACTAATAACCTTTAGTTTTATGTTTTACCCAATTTTCCCCATTATATTTTCCATTTTCATTTATACAGTTGTTTATTATTATTGTTGCTATTATTATCATTATTTTCTTTCTTTCTTTTTTTTGAGACAGGGTCACCTCCCTGTAGCCCCAGTTGGCCTGGAACTCGCTATGTAGACCAGGCTGGCCTTGAACTCACAGAGATCCACCTGCCTCTGCCTCCTGAGTGCTGGGATCAAAGGTGTGAGTCACCATGCCCAGCTTCATTTACATAGTTTTTAAAAAAGCTTTCTTAAACCCTCTTTGCCATGTGGAAAAAAAGCTTTCTTAAACCCTCTTTGCCAGTCAGGAGACCAAATAGTAGGTCAGAGAAACATGTCTTTCCTCCAGCAGCTGACTGGCTGAATGGCACTAGAACACACAAGGCGATTTCCCTGTTCTCCTAGGCGGCTGGAAGAGACCACAGAGGACTGCTTCTGTTCAGTTCGTGTCTCTCAAACATCCTCCTGGCATTACTCCAACACCGTCTACTTACCCTTCCTGGGATCACGAGATTGTCAATGCCAATCAAATCTTTCTTGAGTTCATGAAGCTTCTGGAAATTCTCCATCTTGATCATCGTGCCATGCAGCTGTGCCACCATCTCGGTGATCTCTGCCAAAGCGGCTGAGGAAGCAAAACACATGCTGCTGTTAGCACAGCCAGAGCCTTCTTCCCACTGCTCCAGGCCCGGCTTATCACAGGATGCATTTTCTCAGCCAGTGGAACTAGCCTCAGGCCCGCTCCATCTTCAGATATTACCACCCAGTTTGATCCAACAGACATTTAACCAGGCATCCAGTGGTCAGTAGGATGGGAATGAAGGGGCTCAGAGGGGACATTAGGAGACAATGATGGCACTTTGGCCCGTGGTGCTTACTCATGGGCTTGGGGTCCCAGGAACAGTGCTTAGCATTCTGTCTCTCTCTTGTTCAGAGGTACCTCCAGTCTCTCAACAGTGAGGCTACCTCATGTTTTAAGTCAGATAACACTTGAGTCCATTTAATTGTTAGGGTCAAGCTGGAGAGATAGCTCAGCAATGGTTGCTCTTACAGAGGACCTGGGCTCTGTTTCCAGCACCCACATGGAAGCTAACAACCATCTGTAACGCCAGTTCCAGGGGATCTGATGCTCTCTTCTAACCTCCAAGGACACCGCACGCATGTGGTACACTTAAATGTAGCAAAACACTCATACACGTAAAATACAAACAAAAAAAATTAAAAATTGTCAAGCACAAACTATTTCCATTGACGACTAGAAAAATTGACTGGGTCTGCTAAGAATGGTACAATCCTTCCCTTTGTGGGTGACCCAGCTGTGACTCCTGAGAGGCCGTCAGCTATCTCACCCTGACACAGTAGACCGGCAGTGCAGGTAGCAGAGGAACAAGGTGGGTGGAAGAGCAGCCCAACTTCAAGGGTCAAGCAAAGGTCAAGGCTTGATGAAGAGGATTTCACTAGAAAGGCTAAAAAGGCATTGGCAATGACCTCAGGAGGCAGGAACAACATACACCAAGACCCATAGGCAATAGACTTCTGCTAAGGGCCAGGATCTATCGCAAACCACCACCCTGAGACACCTGTTCTCCTTCCATGAATTGCCACTGTTTTGCTTTACTTTTCCAGGCTGCCAGTTTAAAAACTACCTGCAGGATCCCCTCTATAGTCTCGATACCAACAGTAAATCTTCATGAATAGTCCTGATGTTACCATCCCCCTTCTTAAATCCAACACCACCACCCCACCCCACCCCCATTTTCCTCTGCTCTCAGGTGAGACCTTGCAGAGTTCACAAGTTTCAGTCTCACTTTTGCCTCCTCCAACTGCATTCCACACCGAGGACACAAAGAACATTTACTTTCTGGAATATTCTCTAAATCCTGTCCCCCTTGGAACTGTATACGTGCCTTTCCCAATACTTTACACATCCTCCCCTCCTTTTCAGTTTGGTACTAAGCTTAGATGTCATTTCCTCAGAGAGTCCTGGTTTAGCTCCCAAGGCAAAGTCTACTCCCAGCTCTTTCCTACTGTACTCCGCACTACTTCTCATGGACCAGCTAGTAAGCATTGTGAGTGCAAGGCATATCCTTTTAGCCTTCCTTGTATGTATCCAGCACATGAAAAATAGGATGGGCCAGATCCTAGACAGTTGGGGTGTCTAACATTTGGACACTGCAACACAATTCTGACACTTAGAAAGCTCATGCTTAAGAATTATGCAACAGAGTCAATCCCTGCTGCCCCCAAATGGTAAAGAAATCTCATAACGTTTTAACTAAATTTACAATTTTATTGTTGGGAACGGTGGCACGCGCCTTTAATCCCAGCACTTGGGAGGCAGAGGCAGGATCTCTGTGAGTTTGAGGCCAGCCTGGTCTACATAGCCAGTTCCAGGCCAGGTGGGCTACAGGGAGACCCTGTCTCAAAAAGACAAAAAACAACAACAAAACAAAACAGAAACACAACCAATTTTGTTGGGTGACATTCACAGCTAGTTTTGCCTGCTTGAAGCTCATGACCTGGGGGCTAGACATGTTGTTAGGCATGGCTAATGCAGTGAATTTGTGTGTGTGTGTGTGTGTGTGTGTGTGTTTGTTTTGAAACATGTTCTCATGTATCCTAGGGCTGGCCTTGAACTATGTTCAAGGCTAACCTTGAGTTTCTGATTCTTATCCCTCTGTGTTTCAAGTGTTAGGATTATAGGCAGTTTTATGCAGTGTTGGGGATTGAACCCAGAGCTTCATGAGTGCTAGGCAAGCACTCTATTAAATGAGCTACATTCCCAGCCCATACTCTGGTTTTAAGCAAAGGAACAGGAAAAAGGTGTGTGTAGTGAAAGATAGTACACGTGGCCTAAGACCCAGGAGGAGTTCCTAATACTTAGGTGAGATTCAGGGCCTTGGCATGGAGTGGATGCACACATTCATGCAGTCTGTTCAGGTGCCACTTTCAGGGCCTCACACTGTGCACAGCCCTAGCTGGAAAGTGAAGGGGACTCAGTAACTAGCCCTGGCCCTTGAAGGGACTGAAGATGAGGCCAGAGCATGCAAACTCCAACAGAACACATAAAACGAGCAACAAAATGGCTCAGGGGCTGAGCAAGGTCCAGTGAGAAAAATCAGGAGCATGGCCAGGGTGGATATGAACAGGGTGCTAGGTTTAGATTCCAGATTGCTTGCTTCCCAGCTATGTGGCCTTGTGCAGATTTCTTGGTCACTAGTCACCATATATAAAAATGAACTCCCCCATGCCCTGGACTGGTTGTGAAGATTGTGAGCTGATACTGATGAAATGTTTATTATGCCAACTGGCACATGACAAGCTCCCAGAGCCAGTGAACTGACCAAGGTGGGTCACCCCAAGGAGGGAGTACTAAGTTCAACTGGGCAGGTGGAGGCAAATTCCTGGGGGGGGGGCAGTGACTTTAAGTGAAGGAGAGGATGTGTGTACATCAGCACCTTCTAATAGAAAGATCAAGAGGTAAGCATCACAGTATGGAAACCTGGGATGCTATAACAACCGACTATCCAGAGGACCCTGGTGGGCACAGCCTGACAGCATCCTGCCCCAGCCTGGGGACAATCCTGGTGGTGTGGGCTCCCAGGTATGCACACATATCCTTACCTCGGCAATCCCTAAAGTCAGCATCGTTCGGCTCGTGGAACTTGCACAGCCTCTCCAAGACCTGCTTGTAGTGCATAAGCCGGTGTAATGGGCGCAGGAGGAAGGTGTTGAGCGGTAGGTAACACACCTTCTGCAACTCGAAGTCTCGGCAAAAGTGTTCCAGTCTCCGGGAGCCTTTGATGGAGGTCTCCAGTGCCTCCAAGGCCTCGCTGTGCTTCCACAGGTGGGCCACCAGGTGCTTGGGGAGGAAGAGGAGGGTGAGGATCCTGATCAGTAAGTTCATACCTATTTTGACTTATGCAAATGAGGAAAACCTTTGTCTTGATTATTTTTTTAAAACTTTTAAAACTTTTTTAATTTTTTTATTTTATGTGTATGCGTGTATTGCCTGCATGTAGGTAAGTGCACTCATGTGGTGCAATGCCCGCAGAGGTCAGAAGAGGCTGTTGGATCCCCTGGGACTGGAGTTACGGACAGTTGTTAGCTGCCATGTGGGTGCTGGCATTCGAACCCAGGTCTTCTGCAAGAACAACCAGTGTTCTTAACTGCTGAGCCATCTCTCCAGCCCGTCTTGATTATTTTATCACATTTCCTTTTTGTTTTCTTATTTCACTGCACTGTTTCAGTGAAGTTCTAGGCATGAAATGAAGAAGTCCATTAAGGTAGTGAGCAGCTAAGGGTGCACATGCATTATAAAATGGATGCGCTGTATAAGGAATATTAGAAGCAGAAATGTCCTTTTGAACATGAGGCTGACAAAAATATACAAATAGGGAGTTTTTGAAGGAGTGTACCAGGCTTTCTGCTAAATGTTAAAACAGAGACCAGGGCCATTCAGGAAGCACCAAATAGTTAAAAAATGCATGATGGGACTACTGGCAGTTAATGGTTGCTGGGGGAGGGAGTGTCACTTTCTCTAGTGGTGTAGCTAGGCACATGCAAGCAGCCCTAATTAAACTCAGAGGGATACACACACACACACACACACACACACACAGAAAGAGACAGAGACAGACAGGAAGACAGAGGGAGAGACTGAGAGAGACAAGAGAGACTGAGACAGACATGAAAGTAGGAGAAAGACTTGGGAAAAAGCATTTCTGGGGGATGAGAGAGGTAAGGGGGGCAGTAAAAATGAGTCAGATTCATTACATACATGTATGAAACTGGCAAAGAGTTAAAAAAATTTTTCCATTTGGCTCATGTCCCTCATTTATAAATTAAGGGAGTACCCAGAGAAGCCAAGTAGGCTCTGTGGCAGAGACAGAGTGAAGCTAAGACCTTCAATAGGGCACAAAAGAAGAAGCTGTTCCCCTGGGCAGGTGGGGAGGATTCTGAGAGAAAGATGTTCCCAGAAGGTAAGGGGTAGGTGGACTGAGGATGCCCCAGGACACAAGTCTTAATAATTATTCCCAGAGGGGGTTTACTTTATGTTTTCTGAGAACCAGACACCCCCACATTTTTAATTTCTACTTCTAGTCCAGCCTGTGGTTTGCTATCAGTGACATATTCACCTCCATACTCTGAACACAGAGCATCCACACACAAACCTACTCAGTTCTGCTGCAACTGGGTCGCCTCTTTCATTTTCTAAGTTCAGGAACAGGGCTAACAAACTGCCTTTTACAAGACAGAAAAACCTGTACAACATTCCCGATCCCTTTTTTCTTTTAAGTCGTCTCCAAGTCTTATCAATCCAGCTTCCTAAAAATGATCCACCTCTTCTTTGCCTTGTTCTGGAAGTCACTGCCCTTGGTTAGCATGGCACAGCACAACACTGTCCACCACTTGGAGTGTCCCCATGCCCCTCTGCCTCACTGGACTACTTAAACTGCCATTGAACACATGTCCCCTAGAATGTATTCCCTCTGTCCTCTCCAGCATCTGCTATTCACCCCTGGTGACCCAGTGGCCAACATGTACATGAATACACCAGGTTCCTGCTCACCATGACCCTTGCTTAGGACTCAGAATCTCCCCTTTGTCCTTAGCACACAAGGCTACCCTTGGCTACATCTGCCCCTATCATCCAGAAAGCACTACTGGGTTTATTTTTCAGACTACTTTGAACTAAAGATCCGTAAGAATTTTCAAAGAAATGCAGAGAGGCACTGTGAACCTATCCCACTGTCTGTCCAGTGGTGCTTTCTGGCTGAGCACAGTACAACATCAGCCAGGAAATTGGCATTGGAAAAGCCCACGGAGCATGTATGCTAGATAGCTTTAGTTGTTAACTTGACACACCTGGGGTAGAGGGAGCCTCAAGTGGGGAACTGCCTCCATTGAAGTGGCCTGTGGCCATGTCTGTGGGGTATTTTCTTGATTGCTGAGTGATGTGGGAGGGCCCAGTCCACTAGGTAGGTGATCCTATATTGTGTAAGAAAGCAGGCTGAGCATGGACCAGGGGAGCAAGCCAACAAGCAGCATTCTTCCATGGCCGGTGCTTCAGCTCCTGCCTCCAGGTTCCTGCCCTGAGTTCCCATCTTGGACTCCCTCAGCGATGAACTGTGACCCTGGAGTTCTAAGCCAACTTCCTCCCCAAGTTGGTATTGGTCAGTGTTTTGTCACAGCAACTGAAAGCAGACTAGAACAGCATGCTTGGGTCAAATCAGTCATACATGCTCTCATGTGCATGTGGGTCTATGTGTGTAGCTTTATGCAGTCCTGTCACACATGCAGTCCCCTATCTGATTCTGATACATAGCTCCTGTCATGTTCCCACATCTTGGGGTCTAGCATATGTAGGTGGTGCAGAGTCAGCCTTTCCTGGATATGTGAATGCACCAAGAAAGCAATGCAAACACCCACACTGAGGGGGGGAGCATGGGGTACACCCCGAAGGGCAGAAGCAGGATCTGGGAAGAGCACCTAGGACAGAGCTGGAGGCTGCCTTCTCCAACCACAGACATACCAGGAGGGTTTCACATCATACAAATGACTCTGCTGCGACATGGGGTGGGCTTGGGAAGCTGGGGACTTGTAGGGAAGCTGGCCAGTCATTCAGCAGATGTGAGCCTGGGGGAGAAATAGTAGGCATTTCCGAGAATGGGAGAAGAGGTGGGAGGTGGAGAAGTGGGCAGTTCACAAGGGCCTGCCTGGGTGGAATAAAGGGCAGGTATACAAGGCTAGGAACCGCTTTCTTCTAATGCACTTTCTATTGCTTTGGGCATCTGGATTGATATTGGTAGGTTACAGTTCATGGTGTGGGGGCAGAGACCATGAGTTGGGGACCTCTGACTTTCAGGTGGGGGATAAAGCTACAGGCCAAGCTCCCTTGGTCATGTTACGAAAGGGACACCACCATGTGACAGCGCGGTGCAAAGCTGAATGGACACAGTGGTGGGTGACATCTGAACATACTCTCCTGTGTGCAGCTGAACAAACAGCTGAGGGAGGGGCAGGAAAGACAGATAAGCAGTCATCACCCAAAGCATTTGGATAGAAGTGTTAACCTAGGATGCTACATTTCCAGAACTTTCTGTTGCTTCCCTCCACACTATTAAAATTCTTTAAGACCAGCAATAACAACTACAATAAAACAAAACAAAAACCTCAACAAAACTCATTTCTCAAAACGGCTACCAGTGCCCTCCGAAATCTATTTTTATTTTGCTTGCGCAGAGCCCCATGCTATAAATGTGTATGCTGTTGGCACACTGCTGAAATGCCAGTGCATCTGAGGCCTGGCGGAGCACAATGTGTCAGCTCACTAGACTAAGGAGGAAGTACTCAGCATGGGCAAGCAGGCATATATTTAGGCCTTCCATGCTGGTTAACAGAGGAGGCTGGAATGGCAGCACTTGGTGGGAGAGCAGTGGGGTACTTGGTAATCAGGCCACAAAGCGAGCTGGTGAACAGCAGGACACAGGAGATGTCCTGTGGAGTGGGTAAGGGCCAGACAGGTCTCTCCTTGGCTCCCAAGGCTCATGGCAGAGCCCTGCAGCCTCTGATCCCAGATAAGAGGAAACTTCACAAAAAATGTGGAAACTGGAATGGGCAGAGGAAAAAAAAGCACTCAAGAAAATATACACAGCTCGAGAAGAGGCATCTGAGGAGTGGAAAATTGTAGGAATGACTTTTATAATATAGATGTACTCTGGACAAATGTCTTTTACCTAAATTGCAACCAAAAAGTTCATCTTATTTTTAGAATGAGTCATTCAACCCATAGGACATTCTGGAAAACGTAAGATGATAGAGATGTGAAAGATCACTGTGGGGAAGAAGGGATGAAGAGGTGATGCACAGGGCGCTTGGGTCCTGCTACGTAGCCCAGGCTAATTGTGAACTTCAAATCCTCCTGCCTCAGCCTCTTCTGCAGCTAGGATCACAGACCTCTGCCACCAGGCCCAGCTTCACAGGGCTTTTTCTCTCTCTCTCTTTTTTTTTTTTTTTTGGCAGTAAAAGTTCTGTATAATAATGTCATAGTAAATAACTGTCTTCACATTCTTAATGTCCAATACCTTAGCAAGAAGCTTTGAGGTCGACTATAGGCTTTAATTGTTGCTAACACAGCAACATTGGTTTATCAGTCTTAACTGTATCCCATCAATGCAAAATGTTAATAGTAGAAACCATGAGTGTTGGGGGTAGGAGGCATGGGATCTCTCTATATTCTGCTTGACTTTTCTGTAATCTTTAATTTAAAAATCTCCCATGGATGGTTGTAAAGATGGCTGTTATGACATGTGAGTTCTGTGCATTCGCCTTATACTGTTATGATGACTCTGGCTGTGGAAGCTGTCAGAGTATTCTTGTTTTTCTCGTTTTTTCACCAGACTCTACGGTCCTGACCATTCCTGCAGCTTCTCTCTAGTGTTGCTCAAAACTTCAGCGTGATACTCTTTGAACACAATGAAATGGTGAACAATAATTCAGGATCTGCCAAGTTTTATCTTGATGTTTGTTAAAAAATGGGAGAGGACTGGAGATATGGCTTGAATGGTAGAGAGCTTGCTAAGATATGAGGCCCTGGGCTCAATTCCCTAGCAAAACACATGCACACACACACACACACACACACACACGGCAAGAGGTGGATAAGAAATGTCTTAAATATCTCTTTGGCCTAACAAAACAACTTAGCCAAATTAACCATGGGAATTAATTCACACCCCAACAGTACCCTGCATTCTGTGAGTGACTTCTTAGGGGTCGTTCCTTCCTCTAGACAGATATTGGTTACTAAGATATGCCCTGGACAGTTGAGATTTAACAAGGCTGCTTAAAATTGCAAACATAGGAGCTGAGCAAACTGAGATGGCTCAGCAGTTAAGAGCACGGACTGCTCTTGCTGAGGACCCAGGTTCCCCTCCCAGCACCCACATGGTGGCTAATAACCATCCTTAACTCCAGTTCCAGAGGATCTGATGCCCTCTTCTGGCCTCTTTGGACAATGCATGTATGTGGTGCACTTACATACATGCAGGCAAATAAACAGAAAATACAAATTAAAAAAACAACTTAAATGCAAACAAAGATATATTCAAAAGGTAAGTGGTATGCATTAAAATATCCAGTGTCACAGGAATTACTAGCTGGGTCAAAATGAAAAAGTAAAACTTCAAACATTTCTAAAATAATTTCAAAATCATGGGAGAACATTGGGGATTTGTTTCCTGACTTTCTTGCATACACTTTTATTGTAGATACTGCTGGCTGGTTAAAAATAGATTTTCCTTTGACAGGTTTAAAGTCACAGAATTTACTAGAATTCTTACATAGTCTGGTATCTAGTATTTTGTCGTGCACAGAAGAAGCCAAAACATTTGGCTGCAAATGAAATGTGCAGTCAAACGAACGGGTTTTGTCTCCAACATTTTTTTTAAAGTCATCAATGTCTATTTATTTTAAAATGCCTGTTGCTTGTAAGTGGCTTCAATGCAGAACTTTTGAATCAGAAAGCTACTCTAAGTGCTTTTCCCAATGACATTCTCTAGAGAGGCTGGTTTACCTATGAGGTCATCCCTCGAGTTGCTTTGCATCCGGTGGACAGTGTGTGTCCACACAAAGGGCTACAGGCCAAGCTCCCCCCTCCAACCCCAGCCAGCTCACCTTCATGCCCTGAATATTCTTTAGCATGACATCGCCGATTCTTTGGTAATCTCCTCTGATGTGGGCATTTGAGCGACCTTCCCTGGAGCAGCAGCAGAGGCAGAAACACAACGTTAGCAACAAAACACCAACCTTGATATGCTTCTTCCTCATCACCCACCTGGATCCCTCTCTGACATCTATACTTTTCTTAGGCTCAATATGTTAGTACTGGAGGACTTTAAAATTGGCCTCTAGTAGCCAGGTGTGGTTTCTCATGCATGTAATCCCAGCACTTGGGGAACAGGAAGATTGAGAGTTCAAGGCCAGTCTTGGCTATATAGAAAGACTGTCTCAAAAACAAAACAAACAAACAAACAAAAAGAATTCTACTTGTGCCTTGAAAGAGACATGGCAGAACCAATCTGTGATCCTTAGTTGGGTCTGATGTTAATTTTTTTCCTTCCAGACTTGGGTAATTTGGAGAGGGGTGAGACAGGGTCTCCCTATAACTCCAGCTGGCTTAGAACTTGCTATAAAGCCAGGTTGGCCTGGATCTCACAGAGATCTGCCTGTCTCTGCCTTCCAGAATGAAAGATGTGCACTCACTTGGTCAGTTTTTAACACTGTGAAAATCAGCATGAAGCTCACTTGTACCCTTGTGAAACTGATTCCATTCTCAGGACAGCACACAGGACATAAGGCATGGTTTCCAAATCAGGGCTTCTGCTCCCAAGAGCCTCAGCCTAAAGATCTTAGGAAGGAACACTGTATCTGAATGTGGGCAGGAGACCCATTCCTGGAGGGGGTGGGACAAGCGACACAGAGGGGGCAGGATGGGTGGCCAGGTAGAGAGGAGTAGGGCCCTCCCATACATGTGGGTCATGGATATTGAAGTGGCGTACACTGTCAGGAGTGTTTGGGCATATATTCATATTTCGAACAATTCAGTGCTTTAGCATACATCATAACTCAGGGTTCAGATAACAAAGAGAAAACATTAGTAATGAATATTTACCAACCATTTTCACGTACCAGATGGTATGTTGAGTACATTATAGGCACTGACTCACTTAATCCTCACAACCTTATGAGGCAGGCACATTATCTTTCTTACTTTATAGCAAGGGAAACTGAGGCACAAAGAAACTAGCTGGTCATGAGGAAAGGGACTTATACTTGGTTCTGGCAGCTCAGTTTCTGGAACTGCATCAGTACCACCATGCCAGTATGTATCTGCTGACTTAGAGATAAGAAAATAATGTCCCAGTTTGGAATAACCAACCTGGATAATAGCTTCACGTCAATTCTAAGGCTAGCCAGAGGCCAACTTAGTGAGAGAGATAAACGAAACAAATCAAACAGTGAAAATGGGGCGCTGGACTTAAAATTGAACTTTAGAGGTGCTCAGAGTGCAATATAAGGGCCTGCAGTTGAGGTGAAGGGACGCCAAGATTTACACCCCACAGATGTGGGAACTCGGCACCCTCCAGCAGTGGGAAGGGACTTCTGTTCCAGTGCATGGCATTTTCCCCAACAGTTACCTCCATCTGTGGCCCACTAAGGATCTTCAGGGGGCAGAGTGGGATGGAGAGAGCATGTACACAGGCTTCATTAAGCAAGTCAAGGAGTGTACAGGTCAGTGGAATAGAAATAGGGTCACTTCCTTTCTTTGCCCCGGGTTTCCACACTGTGAACACACTGGCACTATTTATTCCACTGTATATGGCATTACAGGGAGACAGGGAGCATGTAGACCTCGGAGGCAACTGCAGCTCCGCTAAATCAAGAGGGTGCATCACCTGTGCTCAGCCCCTCCTGGGCCTTTGAGCTCCCCTGTATACTATCTTTCTTCAACCTGCTCTATTCTCTTCCCCTGATACAGAACTCCTCTTTCTTTTGCTCCCTCTTGGCTGCTTTAATCACCACTCTTCCTCTCCAAGTTAAAACATGATTCTGTCATCACCACTCCCTGGGCAAGATTCTGGAGATTGTTGTTAACCTCTTTTCTCCCCAGGCACAGCACTATGGTCCTACTAACTAATTCCTCCTCTCCAGGACACGCCCAAGTTGTCCTCTGATTCCACCAGTGGTCACCTTCCATTTCCACCCTCTTCTTCATCCTATGCAGTCCTTCTGATTCTCCATGGTTTCAGTTTATGATACCAACTTTATACTCCAATGGTATCCACAAATATTGACTCAGATTCTGCATTTCAGACCTTCTGGAGGGTTTGTCTCCAGGGGCCACTGGGGATGGCTCCAGCATCCAGCTTGGACCCAGGTTCTCCTTTGGTGGCTATCTTTGTTCCACTGCTACATCCTGCATATTATTCTATCCCTCAGCTACAAGCTTGTGGTGTCACTGAGTGTACCATTTGGCTAATCCTGGGTTTGGATGGAAGTTCACCGGTTCCTCTTAAACACTTGAAGTCGGGAGGAAATTAAATTGATAGGAAGGTCCAGCCTGAAGGATGCCTTCTGTTGTATAAAAGCTTATGCACCTTCAACAGGGTGCTCCTTCACAACAGGTTCTGCCATTCAAGTACTAACCAGGCCCCATCCCACTTAGCTTCTAAGATCATATGAGATCGGGAGTGTTTAGGGTGGTAGGACTGTGGGCACAACAGGCTCTCTAAGAACTGTAAAGTTCTTTCCTCTCCTCACTGTCCTTCACACCTGAACCAGCATTCTCTTCAAAGGAAGACCCTGTTGCTAGGCCAGAATGATCTGATTTTTAACAAAATGCCACACATCCATACAAAGAGGCACGGATATTACTTGGAACCTATGTAGATGACCCAGAAATTTCAGATGGGTGTGCCAACTAACAACACACATATGAAAGGTCTAACTTCAAAGAATATAATTTAGTAGTCTGGACTGAGTAGGCAAGGAAAGAAATGGGGGGAAGGAGATAGATTTGTGCTTCCAGTAAAAACAAGTATTTCTGGGGGCTGGAGAGATGGCTCAGTAGAAAAGAGCACTTACTGCTTATTCTTCCAGGGGACTCAAGTTCAGTTCCCAGCACCTACATGACAGCTAGCAACCATCCATAACTCCAGTTCTAGGGCACTGACACCCTCTTCTGGCATCTTTGGGCACTGCACATACATGTTGCATTTATATACATATAGGCAAAACACTCATACACATAAAAAAAATTACCCTCCCAAGTATTTCTTCTCTTAGCTAAATAATAGCCTTGCCCAAGATAAAGTGAACTTATGTAGAGGGTAACAAGAGCAGAAGCCAAATGTAATCATTTCCCTCCCTCCGTTCTGTAGGGTGGTCTCAGAGTTGTGGTGATCCTCCTGCCTCAGCCTTCCATGTGGCAGGGTTACAGGCATGGGTAACCTTATCTGGCTATACTGTTCTTTTGCCAATTTGCTTTAAAAATATGTATATACTGGTGTTGAAACCTTCAATGGGGGACTTCTTTCCTCATCTGCTTGCTGTCAGAGCCGTGTCTGTTTCTGTAATTCTTTTAGCATCTTTATTTCTACCACAGAGAGGGTACCAGGTGGGTAGTAGTTACCAGTCCCCTGTGCATTATGGAGCAACCGATAACCCCATATTTACAGGGCATTGGCTCTGGTGATACCATGACAGCAGGCCTCAGAAGCTTCTATACATCATAGCAGATCTGACTGCTCTGGGTCAGATCAGACAAGCCCCTGTGCTTGGTGAGTCCAAACTCAGGACACAGCCCTTGGGACTGGGGCAAAGCTCGAAACTCTTGCTGCCCCACATAGGAATACATTGGTGTTTAACTACCTCTTCTGGACATGACTGCCACTAAGTCTATAAATCTAAGGCATTTGTCTTCCTATAAGCAGCTAAAAGGTCTTTTATTATCAAGAACATGAACAAATAATTAGAACTTGTCCATTACATCCCCCAGATGTTAACCCCATGAGAAATGGGTCCTTGTTTGCAAGGCAAAGCCACATATTTGTTGTCTGGGTAATGATCAGAGAACAGAGTTGAAAATTCTTTTGACAGTTTCACTTAGGAAAAGCCATGCCCCCATACAACGTGATTCATCTACTCCTGGGAGTAACTACACAGGACCTCAGCAAAGGACCTTGTACACAAACACATACATGCAATTATGCATTTTGAGGCTTTCTGACCTTGTAGGAACACTTCATTCACCAGTGTGAGCTGGCTGGTCACTCAGCAGCAGACCAGGAAGGAGGAAGGAAAATACACAAAAGAACCACTTGTCAGTGGGCCACCTCTGACTCACAGCAAGGCTCTCTTGGAGTCTGTACCCCAGAAGCCCTCAGGGGAGACAGACAGAGGCTGCAGGGGAGCAGGTGGGCAAAGCCACTCAGGGCAAGCAATCCCTTGCTATCCTGTTCAAATCCCAACCCAGGGTCAAGCTACAGTCCATTCAGGCCTAATAGTGAAATGGCTCACAGCTTGCTGATGACCTTGTTGGTAATAACACCTCCTGACTCTCCAGGTAGTCTGGTAAGCCAGTGAGGTGGTGCTTTCTGGGAAGAAGGACCATCAGGACTGGCTTGGCAGACACTCTGAGGACGTTCTTTACCAGTGAAAGCGGGCACAACTTAACCCGCAGGTGTCTTAAGAAGCTCAGTAGAGATGAGATCCTTCTTGCAACAAAAGAATTGTCTCGATTAAAACACAAGAGCAAATTGTACAGTTTGAGGCTCGAACCCAATGTCTGGACATTCTGACCTCCAGAAAACACCTAACTTTTAGAATCTTTGCATCCCCATTTGCAAAACAAACATTGCAGCCTTGTCCTCACTATTCCCTGCAGCTTCTGTGATTACAAATTTAAAAAGCGATGTGATGAGGTATGTTCGTGCCTCTATATAAGTAACAGGATAACATGTAAATGAGAGTTGGGTAAAGACAAGTTTTATATGTGGTGTGAGGAGGGCATCAGCAAACTTCAGCCAGTGAGATGGATCAGTGGGTGGGTAAGTTGATCAGCAGGTAAAGATGCTTGCCACCAAGCCTGATGATCTGAGCTCGCTCTCTGAGACCCACATGGTGGAAGGAAAAAACCAATTCCTGTAAATTGTCTTCTGACCCCCACAAGCTCTGTGGCACAAGAGCACCCATAGG